TCGGGCAGCAAAGTGAAGAAAGTTTTTTCTTGCACATAAGCCAAATTAATCAAAATAGCCTAGTACAAACCAACAATAAAAAAATTTAAACGATTATTTTATATGTGTATCAGTGAAATCAATTATAAAACTTACATTTTATCATTTAAGCTAAATGGATCAGAACTGTCTCGTAGCAATCTCCTTTGTATATTAATGCAACAGTTGACTGCAGCATGTTCTTCCTCCTGAGACAAAAGTGCACCGGCCACTGAATCCATTCTATTTTACTTAATTAAGAAAAAGCGTTTTCAAATACGATTAAACAATTTTTTTTTAATTTCACTGTTCACTTGCGATTATATTTATTTTGATTTGTTTCTGTCAAAGCAGCTGATTAAGAACTTCGAATTTCACTATTTTAGTTGGCAACGCCGTTGATAGTTACGATCGGATTCCAGCATACCAATTTTCGAATTTTCGGAACGGAGCTACGAATTCGTAACTACGAACTTTCGGATTACAGCATAGGGGTGTACATATTGCACGGTGTGTTCGGGGAAACAGTGATCGGACAGATCTCCTTTACACCAAACGCGAAACCTTGCGCTGAAATTCATAGAAAATAAAGAAGACTTTAACCGCTGGTCCGTGCAATGATTAACCCTTGCGGGCAGCGTTGCACAATCGCTCCGACCGGATTACGACGCAAGCAGTCGTGCTGGACCACCATATACGTCTGAGTCCACAATCGAACGTGGACCCTAAGAACGCGGCTCCCTTCCAGTTCATGTACTTGGCGGATCCCCAATTCTTTCGCGCGTCACCAATACGCCTCACACCAGGCCTCAGTGGCGTAGCCAGGGGCGGATTTCTTCGTCAGTGACATGAAACTTTTTATTCTTGAATTAATAACATAATACTACTTTACCCTTCTGATTTATAATTTTTTTATTTCAGACTAATGACAAATTATCTTTTAATGAATATATAAAATTATCGGTTGGTGGATTATGTATTTGAATATTTGCGAAATACACTAGGCCATTTTGCTTAGTCCCCCACAGTGTTGGGGGAAATAAAATTGTTCCTTCAGTATGAAATCCATATAAAAACTGTACTTTTCGATTGTAAATTGTATCGACTTTTTAATTTGCTCATATGCGTGCATGCATACATAGATTCCCTTCAAAACCAATGATTTGATGGTATTCACGGGAAAGTTTATGCAGGTACATTTACATATTTTACACTTTTAACATAAATGTCAAGACAGATATTTTAAGATACACTTCTTAACAAACACATTTCTTTAAGATATTATGAATGGATAAAAGAGACATCTTCTTTAAATTCAGTACTAAAACTTGACATTTCAAGTGCTTATCAAAACTTTATACGTGTTAACTAGATTCGCCATTTATCTTAAAATTATATAATTTTAATTATTTGTTTATAAAAATGCAGTTTACACTTTAACAAAACCCGTATAAATCCAAAGTTTAATATTTGCGCAACATTAAAAAATCAACAAACTTTCGTAAAGCCTTTTAATTAGATTTCCTAGAAATACATATTTTGAGTATGCAGTTTTGTAGCCCGATCAATTCAAATAAAGCGCAAGTTTAAAATACATAGCTGTGACTTATCGTTGATTTTTAATATATTTTTTTTTGTTTTTTTATGAAGGCGTTGCTCACTTTCTTCATTAAAAAAATCGTCGAACATACTTAGATAATATGGCAGAAAATTACCGGCATCGTCAAAAATATGCCACACATCAACTGTAAATCACGGCTACTTTAAATTTTCCCTTTATTACACTAAAATTGAATGAGCTAAAAAACTGCAAACTTTAAGAGATAAAACTGAAATGGAAAGTTCGAAATCTTTACGAAAGCTTGTCGATTTTTTTTTAATGTTGTTCAAAGATTAAACTTACTTTCGTTTAGTGTTTGTTAAGGAATAAACTATATTTTTATAAACAAATAATTCAAATTAAAATATAATAAATTAGATAGTCAAATCTAGTCAATATGTGAGTGTCGTAAAGTTATGATATTTAAGAACATCTCTTTCTTAATTAACGATGACACTGTTTCGATATGAAGCTGGTTTCGACATTTAGTTTTAATAAAATTTAATATCGAAAATATTCTTTCAAAACTTGCCAAGGAATGTGATATAATGGTTCGTTAAAAACCTTTTTTCAAAACTTATAAAGGCAAAAACGATAAGGCGAAGACAAAAAGAGAATAAAAAAAATTCCCGCAGTGAATTTTCAGATTTTTAAAACGGTATAGTAATTTAATTTTTTAAATTTAAATAAAGCATGAAGACCCCATGGAATAAACGAGTAGATAAATAATATATAACGGTAAAACTGGCACATACATAAATATATGAAAGAGTGCACTCAGGCGACGCCTCTAGCCATTGTGTGTCACAGATTTAAGTTATCGATGGAAATTTTTGTTTCATCCCTCCCAAAGCCAAATCCTGGCTACGTCGGGGTTTACATTTTTGTCAATCGCGGTTCATGCCCTCTCCAAAAAGGTCGGTTGGAGGTGCCACGCCCCCTCCTCCTCCGCCCACCACGCACACAACGATCGGCCGTAAAGGAAAGTTTCCCCTTTTACTTTGTAAGGGTTACAATCCCTTAGCGCGGCCGAAGGCCTCCTCCCCAAAAGGAGTTCAGCTCTTCTTTTCCGGCAACACAGAAGGGAGAATTCTGCGTCGTAAGGGTTACAATCCCTAAGCGCGGCCGAAGGCCGCCTACGCAAAAATGAGTTCAGTGAAAAAATATTGTGGATAGCGTAGCCGGTGTTGGACAGACTAGGGTTGTTTTATATAAATACTTTGTACAATGAGAACTCGTGATTAAAAAAATGGTTTGTATAGATTTCTTTAGTATTTTTTTAATTTAAATTAAATTTTTGTAATAACTATTTAAAATATATATAAGTTACGTATATCAAATTTTCAAAATCCATCCATTCGTTTTTAAGAAATCTTGATTTCAAAAATAGCTTATTTGATAATTCTTGTTGTTGCTGTTTGCCCAAAAAAATAAGTATACCGTTATACTTAGCTCAATCACCTCTATCGATTCCAATTTTTTATTTTTTTTATTTGAGATTTGGAGCCCTACTGCATTTGCTCCATAGAAAATTCCAATACTGAAGTATGTGGCACTTACCACTGATTTTTGGCATCTTTCAGTTGGGTAATGGTGTTGGCTATTTTCTTCCATATAAAAGAAAAGAAAATGCGCAACGCCGAACTCGGAAAATACATTGAAAATATGTGCATACCTGAGTTTTGATTTTTTAGTAGCTACTTAGGTTAAGCTTGTGTTACGTTTTTTGGCAAAAATGTCGTTTAAAAAAGTTGTAGAATACGAGAATGTAAAAACATCCAACTTACAGCCATATTCCGCCACACTGACAAAACTCACCGCGATGACAATTGATATAAAAATGACAATTGCAGCTTTTTGGTATTCGCAGCAAAATTCAAAACTCGAATCATGCCAATTGTCATTTTTATTGTCATGACCTATTTGGCAGGTGACAAAGCAAAAACATATGTTTGTGTTGACATAAAAAGTGCGACGATTTAATAAATTTCTGAAAAAAATATAAAAAAGACTAATTTCAATGGCAGAACAAATTTTAGTTATTTGCGCAGCCGTGGTTGTGGAAGACGAGCAAAAGCGGGAAAGGAAGCAAGTTTTGAGGGAGCTCAGGGACGACAGCGACCCGTTTTCGATGCAGGAGATAGTTTTTATCCAAAATTTTCACTTCCTAAATCAGTTTGTCGCGAACTAATGCAACAATGGAGCCACGCGACCCTCAGAAATCCGCCATCCCTTTTTAATAAGATTTTTGGGGAGCCTGTATTTCTACGCGCATGGTTCATACCAGAAATGTGCAGGAAACAACTTCCAAATTGCGATGAGCCAGTTGCCATTCATCACATCTCAAAGCTAATAATGGATGTTAAGGGCGGCGAAATAAGGGTCCCCAAAACTTCAAATGAGGTCTTGGAAGTTAAAAAGGGGTAATAAATAGAGTTTTTAAAAAAGGTGAATTCAATTTATGTTATATCATTACTTTCAGCTTTTATACGGCATTTAGGATTAAGGGAACGATAGGTGCTGTTGACTGCTCGCACATAGGCATAGTCGCTCTATCATCAACAGACCCAAGTAACCCTCTATGCATGTATATGAACCGGAAAGGTTTCTACAGCATTAACGTAGAGGCTGTAGGTGTTACTACATATTTTTTTTTACATACGGTAAATAATAAATAAAATTAAATTTCAAAGCAATGACAATTCTGTAAGAAATCTAATATATTGTTATACAATTTTCTTTCTCGATAGGTATGTGATAATCGTTTGCCGTTCACGGCTATAAATGCAACATTTCCTGGATCCTGCCACCACTCCGGTATTTGGACTACATCCCCAACACGCCTTCATCTTCTAAGAACAGATAGAAGCCAGTGCGATAATTGGTTGCTACGGGACCAGGGTTACCCACTGGAACCATGGCTTCTAACTCCAGTGGCAGAGCCATCGAATGCAAAAGAAGTGACATTCAACACCCTACACGCAAAGGCTCGAAATTGCGTAGAAAGAGCTTTCGGTGTTCTGAAATCAAGATTTCGGTGCTTAGCAAAGCACCTATTTCCATATATGTTTCCAGTATAAGTATATATATTTCCAGTAAAGTTTCAATATGTTTGGAATGCGCCGCGCCGCGGTATGAAAAATTCGATTTGTATGGGAGATGCCACGCACCCTTGATATAACGAAATTATTATCTGCCTATTACCAAAAGGTGTCCAAAATTTCAAAAAAATCGGTACAGCCATTTGCGAGATCACCTCTTATAAAAAGATGGGACTTCTCTTTATATAATTAGTATAGATTATATTTTTTATTTTTTTTTACACCAATGCAAAACCAATTCAATTTAAAATTTATAAAAACTATATGTACATATCAGTTTGATGTACATAAGTACTAGGGATGTCAATTTTCGGGGTTTTGTCGACCCCGGGATTTTCGGGATCTGAAAATACAATCCCGGGATATCGGGATTGTCCCGAAATTCAGGTAAAACTGCAACACATCTGTGATCATCATATTATAGTATTTTAAATCAGTTGCCAAAATCGATGCAAAATATTTTTGTAAGTGACTGCATTTGGTACAGCAGTGCCTATGTAACTATATAAATTTTTTTAAATCACTGTTTGAGATCAATTTAAGATGTTATCAGTATATTTAAGTAAAAATAAAAAAGTTAACACATTTAAGTAAAAAATAAATATATAAGTGGAAATGCGATCTTAAAGAAATTATAGCATTAAGGGTTGCAAAAAATCCTTGTTTTGCCCTTGGGAGGGAATATTTGTGATAAAAATTTAATTGGCTAACAAAAAAATTGTTTCCAGCAATCCCGGGATTTAAATCGACTAATCCCGGGATATTCGGGACTTAAAAAATACCGGGATCCCGGGATCCCGACATCATATAGATTTTCGAATTCAGTCTTGTACTCACATATTTGTACTTGTTTTTAACAAGTTTTTTTTTCCAACTGTCAAAATTGTTCTTTGCGTTTGGTACAGCAAAACTCAATTTATTCGCACACCATGCCGAAAAAGTTACCGATTGCCACTGGCTCTATATCAGAATATTGATAATCTTACCGCCAGAATGTTTTAGTACAAAGGAAAACGTAGCTGTCAAACTACCAAGACCCCGCAGTAGATGCCAAAATACAAGCCCTGACATATATTGCTCTCTATATTCTAACATTTGTGTCAAGATATAAACTCAATCCTGTGAAGACGGGCAGTTACAGACAGCTGTCACAAACCATCACCAGCATCCGCGGGAAAGCGTTTACTAACCGAAAAAAAAGTAGACGAACAGGCCTGCAGGAACTATTGACAATCGGCGACACTGTCCGCAAGGAACACAGCTATCGCAAAATGGCAGACCTTCCATGCAGTTTTGGTGTTGCCGTACGCTCTAGAAAAATATGAGATGGTGAAATTTCTGACATGCTACCAGGTGCACAAAACGCCGAAGAACAAACCCAGCAAGAACAGTGACGGTCACTTTCCTAGTGACGTAACTGTGACGCGTGCCCACTAAGTTCGGCACGTGTTGCTATCACATTCTTAATAGTGAATCAAAAATGCTCCCAGAAGTTTTGTGTACGTGTGATTTTTCAAACCAAATAGTTTGCCTATTTGCTCATATGTGAAAAGATTAGCTTGACTACTTACTCATATGCGAAAGATAGCTCGCACGAAAAAACAATAGATGGCACTCCAATCAAAAATTATTATAGGTGTGTTAGTAACACCATAAAATTTGCGTTTGTGTTGGAGTTTCGGTCACGCTGGTTTTGCTGGGAAGTATTTATATTTTGCAGGCGAACTAACCCATAACAGTATTTATGTATGTATGTACATATGCATGTATTTTGTCTTTACAGAGAAGAGTAAGTAACGAAGATATTATAATCGTTTGTGCCGCAGAAACAAAAAACAAGTAAGCACTTGATAACACCCCCAAAATAGTTTGCTACTTGTAACAGTTATGCTGTATACCTGAATGAAATATAATCCTTGGTGAAAAAAATTTATTTGTGGCCTGTTGTTCAAGGACATATGTATATATGTAAGCACTTGTTAACACCCCCAAAATAGTTTGCTACTTGTAGCAGTTATGCTGTATACGTGAATGAAATATAATCCTTGGTAAAAAAATTTATTTGTGGCCTGTTGTTCAAGGACATAAGTATATGTATGTGTGGTGTAGTTAAAAGAATTTTTTTTATAAAATTTTAATTTTAATTTAATGTATTTTATGTTTCAAAGAAGAAAAAATTCTGAAGTATCAAAAATTTTCTTTTTGATTTACATAAATTGAAAAAGAATTTAATTCAATAATTCAAAAATAACAAAGTACAAAAATGAACAAAGTACAATAGTAAATAGTATTAACCCTGCAATAATCCCAATTGTGGTGTGGTTAAAAATTTAAATTTAATGTATTTTCAGTTTCCAAGAAAAAAAAATTCTGAAGTATCAAAAATTTTCTTTTTGATTTACATAAATTGAAAAGAACTTAATTCAATAATTCAAAAATAACAAAGTACAAAAATGAACAAAGTACAATAGTAAATAGTATTGCTCGAAATGATGATTATACATAAATAATTGCATTGATATTCACAACGGAAGGTGCAAAAGATGATAGATTTCAATGAACTTCTTATATTTCTCCTGGCAGGATCGCCAATTGTGGTGTAGTTAAAAGAATTTTATTTTTACAAAATTTTAATTGAAATTTAATGTATTTTAAGTTTCAAAGAAGAAAAAATTCTGAAGTATCAAACATTTTCTTTTTGATTTACATAAATTGAAAAAGAACTTAATTCAATAATTCAAAAATAACAAAGTACAAAAATGAACAAAGTATAATAGTAAATAGTATTAACCCTGCAGTATGGATATGTAGACAT